ACCAGCGAGCAGGCTGGGGGTGCACAAGGAGCTGGGAGGGGACACAGCCGGGACAGCTGAGCCCAACTGACCCCAGGGATATCCCACACCCTACGGAGTCATGCTCAGCATGTAAAGGTGGGGAAGAAGAAGGAAGGCGGGACATTTGTAGTGATGGTGTTTGTCTGCCCAAGTAACTGCTACGTGTGATGGAGCCCTGCTGTCCTGGAGATGGCTGAACACCTGCCTGCCCATGGGAAGTGGTGAATGAATTCCTGGTTTTGCTTTGCTTGTGCAGCTTTTGCTTTACCTGTTAAACTGCCTTCATCTCAACCCACGAGTTTTTGCACTTTTACCCTTCTGATTGTCTCCCCCATCCCACCCAGGGGGAGCAAACAAGAGTCTGTGTGGGGCTGAGTTGTTGGTTGGGGTTAAACCACAACATAAGGAAAGCCTACTAAACCAAAAACCTTACTTCTTCAGACCCAGTCTCCCTGACAAGACACAGGAGGAGACAGTGGTCTTCCACTATGTACAACCAAAAGGCAAAGGAAACTGGTTTCCAGATCGATTCTCCAACCCGAGCACTTGCGCTATAGTTTTCTTACCACAGTGGCTTACCTGACAGGACTGCTACATAACAGTTAAAGAAGAGTTAGTTTCTAAATAGGGGTGTTTGTTTCTAAATAATCAGAATAGAATCATAGAACAGTTTGGGTTGGAAGGGACCTTCAAAAGTCATCTAGTCCAACCCCCTGCAATGAGCAGGGACATCCTCAACTAGATCAGGTTGCATCAGGATCATGGTGCATCTACCATGTCTCTGGACAACCTGTGTCAATACTTTACCACCCTTATTGTAAAGAATTTTCTCCTCACATCCAGCCTGAATCTCCCCTCTTTAAGTTTAAAGCCATCACCCCTCGTCCTATCACAACAAGCCCAGCTAAAAAGTCTCTCCCCAGATAAGAGTCCTACAAGAAATAATGTAAACCAGGCAAGCGCCAGGCCAGGCTCCTGCTGATCCCATCCCTAGAGACACTAAAACTGCAGGGACAGACCCCGCCATGCCTTCTCCATCATTCCCAAAGTTTGTGTGGACACTGACGGGGGTCACTGGAGGGGCTGCTCCCAGAAGTGTCCCAGCACACAGAGGGTAACCACAGCCCACTGGGTTATCTCCAGGTGGAGCAGGCGGAGCAGGCACTGGGGTTGGACTCACCTCGGCACTCCACGGCTGGGTCACCCCAGAAAAGCTCCTGGCACTCGCGGCAGGTCCGGCCTCCAAAGCCTGGCATGCACTGGCACTGCCCTGAGAACTGCCAAAGACAATGAAACAGGAGATGTGACCCCTCAGCAGCTCAGCCCAGCACCAGAGCAAAGGCCAGGCGGTCAGAGTGTGCCTCACACTCCCCTCACCTCATTACAGGCAGGACCGAGGGAGCGCGCAGGGTCGCAGTCACACTGCTCGCACCCGGTGCCGCTGGCCAGCCTCCATGTGTGTGGGGCACAGCGGTCGCAGGTCTGCCCCACCACGTTGGGGAGGCACCGGCACTGCCCTGTGGCTGCCTCGCACCGGCAGCTCTCTGAGCCCTCGCAGTCCTCCCGCACAGTGCCCAGGTAGTTGCAGACGCACTCTGTGAGGGAAGAGCATGGCAGCTGATGCTACTGCCTGTCAGTACTAGAATACTCCTGATGTCCCAGGCTGGCCATCTCTATAGCTTCTGCCCAAGCACAAAGCAGGCGACAGGAGCCTCTTGTTCAAGCAGCCCAGTCTTCCTCCTCTTCTTTCCTCCTTTGATATTCTACCAAAGCCTAAGCCTGACCAGATCCTGTCAGCTGGCTACAGTGGTGGATCTGGTTGGAGTGGCCAGCGGCCCGTCAAGCAGAGCAGGGCTCTGTTCACCCACCCAGCAACCCATCTGCCCTGCCAGGCTGTGCCTGGTGCTGAGGGAGAGGAGGGTCTGCCTCCACACTGCCTAGTTTTGGCTAGCACTGTCCAGCTAGATCCGCAGGGATACTGGTGTAGACAAAAGCCAAGCCCTCACCCCGCCAACCCCATCTCTGAAGAAGATGCAAACAAGAAGGCAAGAACCCCCCCTCCTGCAAAAGCACATGTAAATGCTGTCATTGCTCTCCCTGTCAAATGTAAAGGACTCCTCTCCCAGCCAGGGGCCCTACTCCAGGGCAGTGGCACACAATGCTAGCTGGAAGTAATGAGGTTTCCCCTCCACCCGAAATGTCCCCCAGCAGAAGAGTTGAGGCAGCCACTGAACTGCTCATGGCTGGTGGAGGGGTTGTGGCTACTGTCTCCCCACTCACTTCTGCAGTCCTGCTGCAGGGCACTCCCGTAATAGCCCTGTCTGCAGAGGTGGCAGTTTTCACCCTCTGTGTGATACAGGCACTTCATGCACGTTCCCGTCTTCTTGTCGCAGGCCTCCGGGTCAGTAGTGTCGATGTTGTTGTTGCACTGGCACGGCTGGCAGGCGCCGCCAACCTCATCGGGGCTCCCAAAGAAGCCAGACGCACATTCATCACATCGACTGCCTGTTTGAACAAACAGGCACAGTGGGAATTACCATCACGGCTCGCTAGCGGCCGGCCCCATAAATGGCAAGACTGAGGCAAGACAAAGGCCATTAATGGGGGGTGGGCGTTAATTGGCTAATGCTCAAAGCAACAGAGGCGGTGCTGTCAGCACACACATCCTCTTGGTTCCACTGCTGTCCTGTCCGCCTTTGCCAACCACCATGGTGACGAGGATGAGGTTCATACAACCTGCTCTGCCCTGGCACCTTCCAAGTGCTGCTAGCCTCCAGCAGCAACACAGTGATGCTGGATCCCTTCTCATGGGGAGGTTCAACCCAACCAGCCCCCCTTCATGCACCCACGCAGTACCTATGTATCCCATGCTACAGACACACACGACTTGCAGCGTGACTGGATCCTGGTAACAGCTGCTGGCAAACTGGCGTCCACTCTCGGGGCCGTCAGGACAAAGGCAGGGGCGGCAGTGGTCGCCTGATCCCAGGACGGGGTCTCCATAGTAGCCAGCCTGGCACCTGCACAGTGGGGTTCATAGCATGCAGGGGACTGCAGGCAAACAGACTGCAGCCTTGCTCTAAATATGCTCAGGTTTTCAACCACTGTGAAGAACCAAAAGCCAGAAACACCCTTATGGCTCCCCCATGCCACTCACACTCCAAGTAGCTGTGCCCACAAAGGCAAATTTGTCTGGCTGCTGTCAGCGTATGAGGAGGAGATGCAAGGCAGGCTTGCAATGGAGAAAACCTCTCTGAAGCCCTGGGGTCCTGCAACATTTGCTGCTGGGAGGTGCAGGGCAGCAGTCAGGGAGAGGGTTGTCCCCGTTCCCATCCTCCTCCAAGACCACCAGCACTGCTCTGGCTCCTGGATCCAGGGACTTCCCATGTGGCTTTACACCTGCCTGAGTACCAGTACTGGAGGGGAACAGCTCCTGCACCCATTCTGCTGTGGGGAAGGAGGGGGCAGCTGTACCTCTCACAGTTGTGTCCTGCCGTGTGGTCCCGGCAGCTCAGGCACTCCCCGGTGTATGGGTTACAGTCATCAGCGTGGCCATTGCAGTGGCAGGGCTGGCAGCTAGGGAAGCCCCAGAAGCCAGGCAGGCAGCGGTCGCACTGCCGCCCATACACCCCGGGGAAGCAGTGGCACTGGCCTGTCTCCGCATCGCAGAAGGCATTGTAAGAGCCTCGGACATGGCACTCGCATGCTGCAAGGAGAGAGGGAGAGGAGTTGCAATTCCACAGCAAGCCCTAAACACAGGGCCCTGACCAGAGCAGAGCCCAGAGCCAAGGGCTTAACGTACGTCGACATCCACTTGGCCCGAACCCGAAGGTGCCAGGGGCACATCTGTCACACTGTCTTCCAACAACATTGGGACGACACTGGCACTGTCCTCCGCTGGGGTCACACACTGAACTTAGGGAGCCCTGTGGATCACACTGGCAGGCTGAGTGGAGAAAAGCATTGGGGGAAGTAAGTACTGTGGCACAGGGCATGACTCACCTGCCTCAGCCCATTCACACGCCTTCACCATGCAAACCACTCTGCCTGCAAGCTCCATCCAGCTTCCAGGCACAGTTTGCCCTACAACTTCATGGCTACGTACATAATGCGGTCTCGTGTAAAAGTGCAGAAATGCTGAATATGATGTTCTTGCAGACATCTGTCATGGGGGTTTTCACAACACTCCTGCTGTTTTCCAGACACCGGTATCTTTGGAAAGTTTCCCAAGCACTGTTTGTGACCACATCTTCGCCTGAGCCTCCCACTGTGAATATGTCCAGTGATTTGCAGTATGGCATGAGAACAAGCTACAAAACAATTTTACAATGACAAAGTGTCACTATTATAAATAACCTCCACCAAAACTGTGCGATTTCAGTATTATCCTGCTTCCTATCATCCTTTTTCATCCAAAAAGCAAATAGCCAAATAGAATTTGGAAGGGAGGTGATGGTATTTCTCTAGTTTTTGGTGAAACAGTTCTGGTATCTACCAAATTCTCACCAAATCTGTATTTTATCCATTCAAAAGAAAAAGACTGAAGTTGACATTCATGACATACATGGCACACATTAACCCCCTCAAAGAAACTATAGGTCTGGGGAACTAGTTGCAGTCCTGTAAAATACAGTAAAAGCCTCTTAGCAGAACCCCCATACTTTGAGACTGAAGAAGCCTATGCTGCTTTATATTGTTCAGTTACAGTCTGGCTTCAGCCATAAGCAACAACGCTGTAAAATATTACTTTGGATTTTGGATGCCAGAGGAGATGCAAACTTTCTGGCTTTTAAATACACTTTTACCCCAGAGCACCCCTGAAATAATTTCTGCTCACAGAGTCAATCAGTGTGTACGGGCTCTCTGTCTCTGTATCCACCGAGGAGTACTGGGACAGTTCCAGACGGATGGTGTAATTCAGCCCCTTCTCAAAGCAGACAGGCCGTGGAAGAACAACGTATCTGGATTAGGAACAGGAAACAATTCTTACTTCAAACGTCCAGCACCATAAAGCATTTCAGGTGGCCCTATAAAGCAATCGAGATAACGGAAAGCAGCCAAGACCAGGCAGAACAAAAGCTATGATGTGAGAGAGGCAGTCTGAAGCCTTGTGCAAGTCAGAACAGGAAAAGCTTATCGGCAAGGTAAAGAGTCGTACCCATGTTCACTCACAGGCTGTGCAAACACTCCCCACTCTTTACATTGAACAAAATACATCAGAAAATGAGAATAAACCTTAAAGTTTTAAGACTACAGATACAGTGCTGAATATGTTTTTATAACCCACTTGAAATGACATTTCATCCATGTTCATGGAGGCCACGGCAAGCTGAAAACGTGATATTGCTGTTTCAGTATTTTAAATGTTTTGTTTTTCCTTTCAGCCCAACCAGCTTTACTGACCTGGAGCCGGGTGACAGTGAGACAACTTGATTATCATCATCAGGAACAGTATTGCCACAGCGGCTACCTGTGGGAATCCTGCCCGGGCGTGAGACGCTGATCACAGCTTTTTCCCACTGATCTGGCAACTGGGGAATAAAAAGGGTGATCACCATCAAGCAATGGCTGTAAGCTCCTGGGAACATCCAGAGCTCAGGCCAAGAAAAACGTGTACACAGACAGGGTGGTCAGTGTGCTTCAAGGAGGATGGGGCTGGCTGTAGCATCAATGGGGCATCCACAAGCTGAAGGGTTGGCTTAAGACAAGCCAAGTGCCCTTGGTCATCAGCCAACACGACAGCCTCTCTCCCTCCCTTTGTTTTCTAGGTGTAGGCCAGCAGCAGCCCCATCTGCAGCATGGCATCAGCAGGGCTTTAGTGACCTCCTCTCCCCCCACCTCTGGATACTGCATCTTTCATTGCAGTCAATTGCTGTCAAGCTCTAGATAAGGAGCTGGGTTTTTTTTCTCTTTCCCTTCACCCTGCAAATTATCCTTAGGCAAAACCAAACTGCTTGCAAACTCCTGGCTGCCAGCATTCAACATCTAAGACACACAATTTGTCTCCTAAGGTACATAAGATAGTTTTTTACCCATTAGAAGGGTGTCTGACTGATGCTAAATTTATACTCTAACCTGTCCTGATAGGAGTCGTCACTTTTTAATTTGCTCATTAAACAGGTGCTGAAACAACGCAGTAATAAATGAAACTGTGAAGCAAACAATACCAGCAATAGTCAACGTCTCCTTGGATTTTCACACATTTCAGATATTTAACTGAGCAACCATCCTTGCCTTCGAGTCCTGATGACTCCTGGAAGCTCCAGGCTCCTGTCAGTCATGCACCTGGGACAGCCAGCACTTGCTGGGACACAGTAATGCCCATACTCACAGACCTACCTGCGGCTCGTAGCGGATCAGGATATCATACTCCATGGAGTAGGGGATGTTGTTGACATAGAATTCCAGGTATGCCCCCTCAGGGACTCTTACAAATCCTATGCCTGTCCATGATGGTGTGCGGTCTGGCGTGTACTGACGCTCTATTATGTTTACTCCCTACAGAAACAGGGAACAGAGACTTCATACCGATACATTAAATTTGTGAGTCCCATAGGGGTATGTAAGTGATAAGTTCTGCTGATGGATTACTTCTGGATCACGGCATCCATTGTTTGCATCCCAGAGAACATGAACTCTCTTTTAAACCCATATGTGTGCACACCGTTGCCCTTCCACTTAACAATATACAAAAAGCAAGAAAGATAAAACAACACTACAGTGTTCATCCATTCCTGTTATGGTGAAGAATTAAATTTAAAAACTTGCTGTGAGTAATTAATACACCAGCTACAACATCTTGTTCACCATAAGACCTTTCACATCATACTTGCAGCAGCAGGATTTACTGCAGTGGTATGTAACTGCTCTGTTAATTGCCCAAGTCGAGTGTCAATTACTTCCTGATTGCAGCAGGCTGCTCCAAACCAAACCACTGCTCAGGATAACATTTGGAAAGCAGTTCATGGCCACCACAAGCAGGGTGTCACTAAATAACAAGAGATCCTAATAATTGTTAGATATTTAATAGTCAAATGAATATGTGGTCACTCCTTTCAGTCTGAAGTGCTAGGTTTTTGTGTGCTACTTTTTATATAAAGCAAAGGAAAGGAAAAAGACAACAGAGAGTTGTACAGTGCTTTAACTTCCCATTTAAATGTATCTGCATCCATGCATAGTTCTCTCCACAGAACATCCTGTGCATTCCTAAGGAAGTTGCTTCAGTAGAGAGGGATAAAATATAAGGAAATGACTACATATATACACATATATCACCTCAGGATATCCTCTCATGTATTCTCACACTCTTTGAAGAGAGCTTGGCTATAAGTTTTTACCCTTTGGCTTTGCACAAAGGGTTGGAGCACCCTAGATAGGGTGGCAGGTGAGATGTGAGTGAGGGTATGCAGCTGTGGGGAGCATGGAGTCTTGGCACCACCTGAAAATCCCTGCAACTCTGTGCCCTGTGCCACTTAATTTTATCTTGTGCTGGGCCCCTGCCTGGGGATTCAGTTTTCAGTCTGCCACCAGATTTCTGAGGAGGGTCTTCAGTACTGGCGTTATTTAAAATGGCTTGTTCTGAAGCTTTCAGAATGCGAACTAGCAACACATCCCCTCACTTTGCTTAGCAAGGCTGGTTTTCACGCCAGGATCCTCCATCCCTGAGCCTTGGCAAGGTTTTGGGTACCACCTCTCCAGTCAAGGAGGCACAAATGCACCAAATTCCCTGTGCCAGCTCACATGTCCTCTGCTGCAGCTCAACTTGTGCTCTGCACTGTCTTCACTCTCTGCAGTTACTGGAGAGCAAAAATCTGCCTTGTCTGAAACTGCAAAGCGGCTGCATTTTGCCTTAAAGAAATAAATTAGGACCAGGTGCCCCAGATGCAGGCAGACAGACAGACATCTGCTGCTTTTAGAGGAGCCATTATCTCATCTCCCTGACTCTTTGCTGGAGGCAGAAATAATTGATGTAATCACCTTGCTGCTAGTAATGAATTAAAAGCAAGGCTGTGCAGTGGTGAATAGAAAGAGATGGAGACCCTGATGAACCATGCTGGTGGAAGAACTAGCCAGAGACAACCTCACCTACCAGTTTTATGTACAATCAAGTATGGTTTTAGCTATTAATAAAAGAAATGTTACTGATGTACAGAAACTCTAAAAGCTGTGGCAATGTGCTTATGTGTGCTTTGTTCCCTTCCAGTTTCAGTGCCACCAAAAGGAAGAGCCAGTGTCAGTCTCCCAGGGCTCTGGAGATAAGAGGGGAAGGAGAAGTGGGTGTGGTGAGCTGACACAGTGGGGGACAAAGAAGGATTCTGACAGGAAACTAACTGTATGGTCATGATCAAAGAAATGGGTTTAGAAAGAAAAATGGCAGTTTCCCCCCTTAAATTACCACACTATTTATCAATACTAAGATTGAAGAGCTACAGGTTGATGGTTTTCTGATACAATTCACTATTGTTTTCCACATTTTAATTGCAAAACACTCAGGGTATGAAACAGATGCTTCCAACACCCAAACGGTGAAAGAACTGTCCCACAGCTGCTGTCCAGAAACACCAGCCCATTAAAACTGCTACTCACGGGACCCAAGCTGGCTTCCTCTGCCTCGTAGATGTAATGATCGAGTGAAATGAAGTAATAGCCAGGCTCCACCTGGTTGCACTGACGTCCAAACATGTGGGGCCGGCATTCACATTGGCCAGATTGACTCGAGCAGCTAAAATGGAAGAGCAATGAATTTACAACACATTTTGGTTATGCTAAGACAGTACTAGAGCTATCTTCCGCTTTGACATCTTAGGACACAGGAGAAGCCCTTCTGGACACAGCTGTGTCTAGACACAGGATGTTCTCAGGCTTGCAGCTGGATCATCTGCACTGCTAAAATGGTTCAACCCAACTATTATTCTCCCAAACAACTCCTAGGCTCAGGCTGGGAATGAGCATACACCAGGGACCTTTTCCAGTAGGCAGCTTTCATGTGGTTTCCTCTATTTGAATGAAGAGAGGATTTCATGCTATGGATACAGGCAGTTCCCGAGGGTCAGACAGCAGTCTTAGGAGAGCTTCACTTGTTACCACAGTCATAGTCAAGAGGCATGTCTGTCCTGTGAGCCAAGGGCAGCCTTCAGCTCCAGGCTTGCAGGCCACGCAAGCAGCATATCTGTTTGTCTGGGCTCATGCAAAGCAAGAGCATGCGTGACCCTGCATGTCCTGGCACATTGTATGCTCTTGTATGCTGCAAAGTGCATCCTCAGAGGTCACCCACCAGCAGCTATACACAGGGGAAAACCACACCTGACTGCTTTAAAGTAGGACAAACACAAAGACTTGGGACACACAGAGCCATCTCTGGGGCATGCAGAACATCTGTCCAGGGTGACGTACAGCAGTTCCACTTCCTTCATGATGGGCCATTTCCTTTTCTCAATACAGCTCTACCCCCAGACTGCCTTTTGGTGGTTTTATTGTCCCCAGAGAGTCTGCCCCACATTATAAAGAACCCTCGGGCACATTGTTTTCATACAAAGGTTTTTTGGTCCACCAAAATATGCCCTTTTCTTTAAATCTGAGTGCAATTTAGGAACACTTTCCAAAGTCAAACCCCTCTCATGTCCATGGAAAATCTCCAGGCTTCTTAAGCCCCCATGCTAAGAGTAATTTTTAACTAAAACCATTTCTGAAATTACAGAGATTCACTTTCAGATTCCAGAAGTGCCCCAGGTGTCCCAGAAGGGGAGCTGGGAAGCCTCCCCTCCGGGGATGAGGATGGTTACAGCACAGAGGGGGATGAATTTTGGGTGAGGTGCAGCTGTGCCAAGTGCTGCATCCCACACCCTGAACCAGAGCCAGGAGGCAGCAATTCAGCAGCTGAGAGGAGCCCTGGGTAGGGCAAAACTTCCCCTTCCCACTTAGGTTAGAGAGTGAGGCTGCAGCTGAGCTTTGAGGCTCTCCTGCAGCTGGAGAAAAGCACAGCTGGCCCCTGCCCACGCCAGGACATTGCATGTCCCCCTCCCCACGAGGTTTTGCAATCACTGGGCTCAGTGCATGGGAAAGATGCTGCAAAGCCTTGCTGAGCCGTGCCCCAAACATCTGGAAGTGGCTGTGCTGGGGCAGCTGTGCAGAGTAAGTAAGCAGGGAGCAAGCATGGAGGAGTAACTAATCACCAGCAACCACACCACTGTCTGCTAAGGAAGGGGTCATAATTCACTGAGGAGCAAGGGGAGAGACAGCCTGGAGGGTGTTCCCATGGCACTCCCTGCTGCAGAAGTGGTGTCCGCAGGAGTTACATTGGGACCAGTCCCAAACTGCCCCGGTGTGGTCTGGTGGGTCGGCGGGAAAACAGTTCATCTACCCCCTTGGGAAACTTCTGTGGCTTTGGACAAAAGCAGGATGTTTCAAAGGATTTGTGAAAGGAAAGGCAGGAGGAAAGAGAGTGAAGGAGCATGCTGCTGCTCCTGAAAAACCTGGGGTCAGACATGCACCTAATGCACAGAAAACTGCTGTGGTCGGAGGAGCAGTCTGGCTGCTCAGCACCCCTCTGACAAGGCATTTAAGCCAGCACTTTCCATGCTCTTACTGATGGATGCACCTTCAAAACTACACACTTCTCTGAAAAATCTCCACCTTCCCAATAGGCATTTCCAGCTCTGCATCCCACCCCACACTGCACCCCTAGGGCAATGCGGCAGTACAGTGCTGCCAGTGTGCTGCCCTCAGCACTGCTAGACAAACAGACAGACTTGCCAAAGGACCAGTTTGAGAGCAAACCAAGAACCAGGCCTATGTCACTGCCTGATTCCTGCATTAATCCTGTGAGGCAAAGCTTTGACATGGACCATACCCCGGGTTATGGCCAAGGCAAAGCTCCACCCATGGCTAGCTCCCACCCTGGCTGACCAAAGGCAAAGCTGCATTAAAAAGTTTCATGTGTTCATCTGTACCAGTGGCACAAATGGAGGCTGCTCAGCATGGAGAAGAATCAGATGCCTCTGTCACTCCTTGCTGCAATCAAGACCTGCC